GTTTCTGTATCTCCACGCCCTTACCAGCTTCTGGTATTGTCCGTGTTCTGGATTTTGGCCGTTCTAAAGGTGAGCAGCAGTTGTTGTAGCCTTTACTTGTCTTTTTTTTTATTTATCAATGTATTTCAGACACCTCAAACAGCCTCTGATACACAGTAAGGGCACAATGAACACTTGCTGAATAGAGAATGATTGATATGCTGGCCCTCTACTCAGTTGCCATCCAAGGAGAAAGTGAGGAGAAAGGGAGAAAATGCAGTGAAGAACAGTCGGTTGTAGCTGTTGGTCCTTTGTAGACTTTCCCTGCAATGACACTTTGTTTGTGGTCAGGTGATCTTCTTGTGTATTCGCCACCGACACCCAGCAATTATCAAAATTCTCTAGAGGAAGTTCATGCAACCCACACGGACGGCCTCCAGGCATGAGTTTGCAGAACAGATTCAAACTGCAAGGCAGGGACTGACAAAATGTTTTTCTGGTTAGAACATAACATATTCTTGCATTTTTTCTGGATGTTACATTTCACATAACAAGATTTCCTGCAAGCTGTGCAGATTATTTGGATCCTAAAGCTCTGGCTTACACAGAGATCTATTTCCAAAGGAGTCCATGTCTCTTCTGTTCAGAATATTGTGTGGTCAGTTATTTTAAGCCACAGATTGTACCTTTTAATAAAACAAGAATGTACCTGGGCTCTTCAAAGCTTTACTTCATTTAGGTAAGAGCACTTTGAAATGTTATCACAGTTTATGCCATCAGCCCCTCCCCTGTTTGGGCAAGAAAGAGTATCGGAATCTTCTGCAGGCCATCCCAAGGCAGTGAGGAGGAGAGATGCTATGTCAGAGGCGCACACACCTTGGCACTATTTTTTATAATCTGTGCTCGTGTACAGGGAGAGTCAGGGAAAGGAGAAACGTCTTCTCCCAAAGCAGTGCTTTGTTCTACAGGTTCATCTAAAGATCATGGGAAGTGAGAATAAAGAAGATACTAACATCTGAGATTTTGCCTTTCTCCATTTATTATTCACCTTTAGGGCTCGATGCTCTCAACAATTGCTCGATTTGTCTTTCTTTTCTGTGGCTAATGGGTCTTTCTTACTTTCATACTTATTTCCTTGCACTTAACTTTGGCTTGTACTGAGATTCCAAGCTTACCTTTCCTAGCCCAATCGTTAATACATAAGGAGAAGTGTTTTATATTTAGACCAAAAAAAAAAAAAATCCTCCCTTAATAAATTAAGTTTTCTATGCTAATATCTCCCTAGGCACTCAAAACCACTTAATTTAAAACAGAACAGCAGAAATGACCCCTTCATTCTTAGCTGTATAAGTTTATCCTCCCATTAAAGCAGTGAATTGGAGGAGCAAGGTTTACTGAGAATGAATAGATATTAGTTTCATATCTCAAAAATATGATCTCTATTGTATTAACAACAAAGAAAAGATGTTGAAAAAATTGATAAAATCTAAGTGGTTATATAAAGAGCTATATACATGCGAAAATTTGGAGATCGCTATAAAGTGTGGACAGTAGGGTAAATTATCAAGGAAGAGCGTACCATAAAATAAATAAATTGAAAAGATAAAATCGGAAAAAGCAAACAAGAATGAGGAGCAACTTGCAGAAGTCATAAAAGGAAATAGAAAACTATTATTTTAAAGTGCCAGAGTAGGATGTTATTGCAATTTTAAAAGTGAAGAAGTATGTAAATTTTGGTAGCAATGTTTGCAATGCCAGCCCCTCATAAAGTTCTTCTAACAGTTCCATAGGTTGTATAAGTTAGCGTGTAATAAAAATATAAATTAGAGAGACACATACACTATCGTTTTCAGATCTGCCATACAGTGTTTACCTATTCTGTGCATACACATATATATAGGTTTAGAGTATATCCGGTGCCCTATTATTTCTGGTACACAGATTGTATACACTCGACTATGACTCTGGTTACACAGAAGAAGACTGAAGCACAACTTGGGCACTAAAGGGTTTTCAACTGCAATGTACTAGTTCAGGTATTATTTATTATTTACTTATTTCAGAAAAGTGACTTATTGTTCGTCCTGGGCACTAAACTGAATGGCAGGCATCTTCAATGGTTCAGATAGCTTAGTTCATCAAATTAAAACTTTATGTGTCCACATAAAATTATCTCTAGCCTTCACAGTTAGAGACATCCTAATACATTAAAAGTGATGACACTCAATAAGGCGACTCATACTTCCACAATATATAAAACAGCTTTTTTTTTTTTTTTTTTTTTTTTTTTTTTTACACGTAAGATAGCTTTGTCTTATGAACGTAACTCACAATTAAGGAAGTCAATACTCTGGGTCTTTTAAAATGCCTGTACTGTTTTTATTCTTTTTAAAACTCAACATAAATCTTTAAGACTTTTGTACGGTTTGAATTTACATGTATATAGCAATATTTATTGCTTTTCAGAGTTCAGCGCATCCCCAGTCTTTGATACTGTGATGACGCATTCATGATATATTCCACGGGAACATCGAAACCTTTTCAGTAGTTTGGCAAATTACCTGAACTGTGGTTGGACCAGTTCTATGAGTTCACACAGGGATGAAAGTTGCTATGTGAGGCAATACCTTTTTCACCCACACAACTAATTTTTAAATAGAGTCACAATGTTTGAATTGTCATGTGTCAATGGTTCAAGCTCAGTTTTGAATATTTTCTGACATTAGCTGGTATCAAAAGAATGAAGCAAGGATGCTGAGATGATTTTCACAAATGAGACTTCTTCAGTGACTCCAGTAAGAGTAATTTAACCTTTTTTTTTTTTTTTTTTTTTTTTTGCCTGAATGGTTGTCTATTGGTAAGCGGTAAATTTGGCAGCTGTATGACAGGAGGAGAAAGAGTTTAAATGATTAATACACTTATAAGTCTCATCTGCTAAACACCAAGGAAGAAAGAAATTATAAATGAATAACACTGTTAATAACCTGTAAGAATTTGAAGAAAGCCAATTCCAATCATCCTATAAATAAACATGTAAAAGGAAGACTTATTAAGCAACAGGTTCAGTGTTGAGTTTACATTTTTGGAAGATAATCCCATAAAGAGAAGATTTCCACTGGGATGCCTGGGTGGCTCACTTGGTCAAGCATCTGACTTTGGCTCAGGTCATGATCTCTGCGTCCTCGGATCCAGCCCAGTGTCAGGCTCCCTGCTCCCCTGGTTGCCAGCTTCTCCCTCTCTCTCTGCATCACCCCCTCCCTCTTCTACCCCTCCTCCTGCTTGTGCTCTGTCTCATTCTCTCAAATACATAAATAAAATCTTCTAAAAAAGAGTATTATCACTGAAGACCATTTAAAGCAATCAAATAGAGCCAAAGGGATCAAGGAGTCTGAAAGATGGAATGTTTGCTATACAGACAATTCACAAAGGTTGTGTTTAATATATTATTACATTTTATTTACTTCACATTATTTAAACATCGATTCCGGGCTTTGCTTCCTAATTACCAGTGGTGCTTTAAAGTAAGAACAGTGAAGAAATTTTCTTTTAATGATAATATGTACTGAAAAGAAGTGAATTTGAAAAAAAAAAGTTTTCAAATGTGGCTAGCATTTATGTGTGTAATCTACTGAAAAATAAACGGAAATTTCCCTTGGAACTCCAATCCCTCCTACAAAGGAAAATGTGCCTTTCGGAAGACATACACATCTGTTTGATGTGGTGCTCATTTGAGATTTAAAATATCTGAGTTTAGCCTCTTTTAGACTCTTTAACTGTCTTTGTATTTCAATTCCCTACTAGTGAACCAAGGAGGATAATGTTTTCACCACTTGGAAACACTGTAAGGCACATTTTTTGGAACCAACTTAATACAAAATGTTCTGAGAAGGGATTTTTTTTTTTTAATTTGAAAAATGTTCAAGCAGTTACTATTTGATTATTCCTTTTTTTCTTTCTACTTCAAATGCATATAAATTCTTTAATCTACTGGGAATACGGTAGGCTTCTTTCATTCCCATTACAGGTCTCAAAGTCATTTTTTTTTCCATTGTGTTTTTCTTGTTTGCCAAGCCAGCTGAGTGTTCCCTCTTTATCGTTCAAAACTCAACACGGAATTATCCTCTCATGAAGAATACGCTTCATGCAAAGCTTTTGAACATCTATGGAGGAAAAGGGACTCTGATTTATGGACAGTTCTTTAGCTTTACTTTTAATTTTCCTTTTATTTTCATTGACAGCAAAATTTTCTGGAGAGTACAATCAAGATAGTGTATTCATAGAAATAACGTTACTAGAAGCTTGGTCATAAATGAGAACAGTCATAATAACGATCTCCTTTACCAAGGCATTCCACACAGAGCGATAACAGCACAATAATTAAAGAATTTGTCGTCTGTCACACAACAAATACAACAGACTGCAATAACAAAATCGTAATTTTATAAATGTCCTTATACTAAAAATAAAAGCAAAAATATGAGGTCATGCACTGAGACAAAAGCTAAAAGTGAATAGTTATAGCAAAAACATCGCAGAAGATAAAAATGTTCAAGTATTGTGAGAGGAGAGGGGAAGAATCAAACAGAAGAGCTTCAGAATAAATCAATTATATTTACTACCCTAGGAGGGACACGGACATAACAGTCTTGGTCCACGAGTACTTTTCGCTGTTAGGATACATACTGTTACCCATTCGAAGGACAGATTCCATTTCCTTGCAGCATCTCTACTGTTACGAGGATGGGGTGCAATCCATTGTTTACCATGATTACAAACAGACAATAATACTTCAGGAGAAATATGCTCAAGGACAGGCCAGCGTGATGCTCCACAACAGTAGGGCCCCGGGGGTCAGGAAGCATGGGCTCCAGCCCTATTTTCATCATTGTCTGTGAAAGAGATTTCCCAGTCCCAAAATGAAATTTCACTTCCTGCTCCGACTTTGCTGCAATCAGGACTAGCAGAGAGCAGTAAAAATAATGGCAATAATAAAATAGTTGAACATTCTCACTGATGCTTCATTTCTTTTTTTTTTTTTTTTTTTTTTTTTTTTTTTTTAAGTATCGAGAAAAGAAACTGGATCACTTAACGAAACTAAGGACTGTATAACGTTTTAGTGGGGTTGTTCCGACAGCATGGCAACGTCTTCCCCAACGTCACTGATCTACACAGTGCCCTTACACTTTGTGGTTGACTGGCATGATCACATTTGAACAGTGGCTAGTTTCTATGTGATTAGGAAAGACATGTTTCTCATGGGAGTAAAAAAATAAAATTTGTCTGTTAAATTACACATAAATATAAGGTACAAATGTATTTTTAAAATACAGATTAAAATAATCACACTTGCATTGTGTACATACGAAAATACAGTATTTCATATTCAATATACACAGACACATTTATGATAAATGCAATTATTTGGCAATGCCAGTTCTTTCAGGGGCTTTCTCTGTCCCCTATTTCCACAGATATGGAAACAAAAATGCGTGGCCAGCATCGTCTCCTAGCTCTGGCGGACGTCCTGGAGCAGTTTGTTAATCTCAGCCACCAGCTCGCTGGCATCCATGAGTTCGTGCTTCCCATCGTTGAGATGATTGAGCACATTGTCAAAGTCATCTTCTTCATAATTCTCGGGGATCTCCTCCATGGCCGGCAGCCACTTCGAAGAAGGCTGCACGCTGGAGTGGGTCCCAAGGGGGGGACCAGAGCTGTTGGTGGGATTTTGGAAATGGGTACTGGCCGCCCAGGCGGCCACACCTTGGGGGTAACCCACCGTCTTGGCTGGCAGGGGTCCCTTCCGACGTTCCAGAGAGTTGGACCGGTCCACCTCACCACCCTCGGGATAGGTGTCCAGGGAAGGGGGCAAGAGGCGCTGGAACACACTGCTCATCTCCGAGAGCAGAGAGGATGTGCTGGTGTCCCCGGAGTCCTCCTCGTTTGGGGAGTCCTTCCCAAAGGTGGAAAAACTCTTCTTCTTCTCACCAGAATCTGCAGGCGAGGTGTCCTCCTCCAGACTCGGGTGCGGATGCTGCTGCTGGGGCTGTGCTGGGAAGTCCTCCCCCGGAATGAACATGTTACTCCTATAGTCGGAGGACGGCGAGGGCAGCGGTGGCATCCAACACTGGTCAGAGTGTCCCAGGACCCTGCACTCCTCCGTGCAAAGCCTCATCGCTACACCAGGGAAAGCAAACGGGGATTCGTTATCAGACCCAACATGACTCAAAATGATACAGCAAATGTCATTATATTTCTCAAAAAAAAAAAAAAAAAAAAAAAACCAGAATGAGACACTTTTAAACTACTACCAGGACACTGGCCTGTTACGCTACACACTAAATGGACTACACTTCTGGGTTTCATTTGTATATCGGTTTTATGGACTGTCCCCCCTCCTCACCCTCTTTACCAAATAAGGAAAGGAGGGTTATGACTCACACACTTCTCAGGGATAAGATATCTGCTCCTCAAGTAATGAGAAAGTGGATTTATAACTTATACATGAGGATGACTGAAAAAGAGCAAAGGTATGGGTGATGGAATATTTGCTGAACATAAATTCTAAAAAACCCAGGGCTGTAAGGTGAAATCCACAATTTTAGAACACCACCAGATAATTTTTTTGAGTAATACCTATGCATAGCTTTCTAGATATTGAGGTCTATCCGACCAACTTTACACTTAATGGAGGCATATGGGAATATAATAAGCTATCAGGTTGTTCTTCTTATTAATCTCTCTCAAACGAATTCTGGATTATTTACTGATTTGTTACTTAATATAGCAGGTGCAAATTATCCCCAACTACCAGGCATCCGTAGTTAGTCTGTTAAGAAGTCCTCTTTTAGAGGTCTGAAATGCAAATAGATGGAAAAGTCATCAAAAGCTGAAGAATTTTAAAAAAAATCCATTGGTTAGTTCTTCCAGTTGTTATAAAGCCTTCTTGGAATGTGAGTGGCCATACTCATAGAAAATGATAGATGATACTAGAAAAACAGGAAATAAAAGAGGAGAAAAATCTCTAAATTTGCCAAATATAATAACTGAAGTACATAACAATGAGGGAAGGCAAAAAATGTAAAAAATACTCCACAAATCACCCATATCTTTCAGTGACAATTAGGTCTCTTTGGTATCATGATTTTGTTTTAGAGCAAGTGACAGGATGCAGAAAATGCAAACTAATTATCTTACATTTGAAGAAAAACTGGATCGATACCAAGCATACCTATCTATTCAGAGCTAATTCTCTAGATCTAGCTACTTAGGAAAGATTTCTCTGCTTCCCAAATGATCGTGGAAAAGGATGATTCTTGAACAATGTCAAATCCTTTGTCAGGGGAAGCAAGTAGTCCATTGTGTTTATTGCTGTATCCCCAGCACCAGGTAAAGTGTCTGCATAGAATAATCAGTCACTATGCATTTTCTAATCATCAGGGAAATGTAAATCAAAACCACTTGAGATTGCATTTCAAATCTGTCAGGATGGCTGTTATAAAAAAAATAATAACAAGTGTTGACAAAGACGTAAAGAAATTAGAATACTTGTACACTATTGCTAAGAACACAAAATGGTGCAGCCACTATGGAAAACAATTTGGAGGTTCCTCAAAAAATTAAAACTATAACCACCATATTACCCAGAAATTCCACTTCTGGGTTTTTAACCAAAAGAACTGAAATCAGGATCTCGAAGAGACATTAGCACTTCCCTGTTCACTGCAGTACTATTCACAGTAACCAAGATGTGTAAAAAAAAACAAAACAAAAAACAAAAAAACAACCAACCTGAATGTCCACCATTGATAAATGGATAGAGACAATGTAGTAGACGCATACAATGGAATACTACTCAGCCTTAAAATAGGAAGAAGAGTCTGCAATATGTGACATTATACCCAGTGAAATAAGCCAGTCACAGGATAAACACTCTATGTGACTCTATGTATAGAAGGTATCTATCTAAAATGAACAAACTCGTGGAAAATCCAAGAGTGGAATGGTGTTTTCCAGGAGGTGTGTGCGTGTGGGAAGTTGAGGCAGTGGGGCACTGCTAATCAACGGGCATCAAGTTTTGGTTAAGCAAGAGGAGCAAGTTCTGGAGATCTGCTATACAACACTGGGCTTGTAGTTAACAATACTGGATTGTACAATTAAAAAAGTGTTAAGAGGGTAGATCTTATGTAATCAAATAAAATTTTAAAGATTTATATACAAAAGAAGGAAAGTGAAGAGTAAAAGTTGTCTCTCAGAAAAAGAGAAATAGGGCACCTGGGTGGTTCAGTCTGTTAAGTGCCCAACTCTTGATTTCAGCTCAGGTCATGATCTCAGGGTTGTGAGGTCAAGCCCCACATCAGGCTCCAAGGCCAGCTTAAGATTCTCACTCTCTCTCTCCCTCTACCATGCACCCTTCCTTCCCTCTCTCTAAAAAAAAAAGGAAGGACTATGTTGAAAGGGATGGAAGTCACTGCTCTTCATCACTCTTTGGAGATGGCTCAGTTTTAAACCTCACCAACTCTGGACCTCAGTTCTTATAGAGAAGAGGTTAATCTGAGGAACAAAAATGAGAGCAGAATGTTAGACTGGGAGAAAAGCTAAAAATACAAAGAAAGCAGGGAAAATGCAGAGAGGGCGTGAGTGCTGTGGGTACAACAAAGGGCAAACCCCAAGAATCCTTGTGTACTTTTGCCGTGAAGAAGGGCTAAGCTTAAAAAAAAAAAAAAAAAGAAGGGCTAAGCTTAAATAAGGGTGGATGATTTAAGAACAAAAGCAGGTTTAGATGCACTGACTTCATGTATTATTACCGCCTGGAAATATTTACTAACTATTGCTCATCATTTAATATGGACAAAACCAAAAGGAGTTGAAAGTAACTGGAATGCCTTAATTAGCAATGAGGTTTTTCTCAGCAGTGAAATAATTCTCCAAGTGGTAATGAAATTTTTTTTCCCTAATTCCCTGGGCCTCTGAAAATGGAAAGGAGATCTGTCTATCTTGTCTTACACACATCCTGTTAGAGGGAAGGGAAACAGATCTGATGACACCTTTCATTTGTTTTCCGGCCTTTAACTCTGTGGGAAGGACTTAATTGTTGGATTGATTATTTGATTGGCTTTGTTTTTCTCTCAATATTTAATGACAGAGTGGGGAAAGAGGAAAAATCACACAGGCTTCTAAGGATCCTGCGTATGTTCAACTTTCGAAAGACCTGAACGTAATCAACATATAACCAAAAATACAATCTGGATGACTACAATGAAAGTTCAGGTTCACAAGTAATCTGGTTACAAGAATTTTTTAGACCAGGGAATGCTATTTCACAACTCTGCAAGACGTAAGTGGAGCTTTAATTATACAATGGCAAATTAACATTCAAGTTCTTTAAATCCATGAAGTAGGAAACACTGATGAAGAAAAGCCCGATGGAGAAAAGTTTGGGGAAAGTAATAAGAGATGGGAGGGGGGCGGGGCACAGAGTAGGGCATTGCTGTCTCATTGAGATTTTCCACCTTTCCCCTGGAGACTCAACTATTTAAAAAACATTCTCAGTGCATATACATAATTCAGTGCCCCAGACGCCTCATACCGCATCCAGTAAGTTGGAGCTTATTGGCAAGTGGTGCACATGGCTAGTCTTTGTGTCTCCTCTTGAAAGCTGCCAGGGGGTTAAATTTCCTCTGGGAAAGGGTTGGGGTGAGGAAGCAGAGAGCTCTTCCTTCCCATCATATGACTGTCAATTTTGTGACTGTACAATACCTTCTAGGTAGGACCTGACATAAGGAGAAAAAGTAAAAAATTATATATATATATATATATATATATACACATATATATATATATATATATATGCCTAATTTCTTGCAGGCCATTTGTCCTTAAGTAAACGATGGATTGCGTATTCAGAGACTGCCATATGTAAAGTGAGATGATCGCTCCCCCTGTCCTCAAATGGTTTGGGATCCAGTTCTGAGTCAAGGGTAACAAAGGCAGCCCTAAGCCCCCAGGTAGTGTGCCAGGCTATGTGACGCTGAAGGCATGTCAAGGAAAGAGACACTAAGAAGGCAAGTGGAAGCTGCTGTAGTTAAAGAGACACCTGAAACAACTTTTGAGAGAGGAAGGGGACTCAGGCATAGTGAAGAGAAACCAGTTTTTTTTTCAGGAAGAAAGGCCCCATGAGCAAAGGACTGGTGGAGACACGGCTCTGCCTATTGCAAAAGACACAAGAAAAGTTGGAACGGAGGAGAGTCAATAAGCTAGGACAGGATTTTACGGGCCTTGGAATGTTAAGGGAAGTCGTTTTATTAGGCGTTGCTGGGCAACAGAAGTCAATTACTGATTTCAAACCCCAAAAATGTAAATTAAAATGTCCTGAGAAAGTTATGCAAGCTGCGTAAGAGAAATATTTGACAAAGGGAGGAGGTGCTAGAGAGTGACTATCAGGCTGTGCGCTGGTACAGTAAAGTGGCCGTGGAAGAGAGGCCACAACGGGGATACAGGCCATGAGGTTGGACAGAACACGGAATTAAAGAGAAATGTTGGAGTTAAGTAATTGCAGATGGCAGATTAATGAAAAGCGGAATGAGCCCAATAAAGGAGTAGCTCAAGACACAAAATCTGAAACCTTGATAAATCATGCTGGCGCAGCCGACAGACTGGGAGAATGGAAATGTCGCAGGAGCATGCGTGGCCCTGGGGTTCAAAGCTGAATGAGTAAGGAAGAAAGTATGTTGACAAACATGAGCTAACGGACAAAAATGCTTGCTGGTCTCGCTGCTCAGAATGAAGGATGTTTCTGTGGGAATTAATAGAATGAATGACCAGAAATGACCTTGCTGGCAGGCAATGCAACGAACCATAATCTATATTTGATCACAGTTTAATGCAGGAAAAATAGTTGGAATAAGACACTCAAGTCCTAAAAATATACATGCTCTCGAAAACTGCACTGATTTCTGTTAATGGCATTCAGATGTGGACTTACTTTTTTTTTTTTTTTTTCCTTTTTGGAGTTGGGCTATTTCCTGGGAATGTAAGTTTACAAAGCACAAGTTTTATGCCCTAATGTAATGGCCAAAGCTGCCAGAATGAATAGCAAGCCAGAAAATGGTTGAAGTATCATCAGAATGATGGTCATAATTAAAGGATGATTATCTCTGTATAGATACTCAATATGCACATTGTTTCCCGTACTAGCCAGAACATGAATAAGGTTTAAAATATTTTATAAGTCACTGGTAATATCCCGGTGCTCTATGCCACCAGAACGCCTTCCCCACAAGGAGGCAGGCAGCTAGGAAGAAAGAAATGTGTCTACTATAAAACAACACCATATACCAGCAATATAGCTCTCCCACTACACGCCTAGATGAAGATTGCGTAACTATGGAGTTTTTTAAAGGACTATCTATATATTAAGTGGTGTTATTACTGATACCATAAAAGTGAACCTCTAACTTTGAAAAGAAACGTTCACTTCTAAGAAGTTAATTTAAAGCCACTCGCCACGTAAGACTGTTACCCTAGACTTTACATCTACCTATTGTTGCCTCAATGACTTTATTAACACTTATTTTTATTTTATTTCATTTTTTTTTTAATGCAAGGATTGGATAACTCTACTGCCGTCAACATGTCTGGTGTTGGTAGCTCTGAAAGAGGGAAAGAGAAGTCCTGCTTTTTTTTCTAAACCAGGTGGGTGAACTGTTATAATTACACAATTTCAGAATTAAAAAGGATTTTAGGGGAACCTGGGTGGCTCAGTGGTTGAGTGTCTGTCTGCCTTCGGCTCAGGGTGAAATCCCGGGGTCCTGCGATTGAGTCCCGCAGCAGGCTCCCCACAGGGACTTTGCTTCTCCCTCTGCCTGTGTCTCTGCCCCTCCTGTGTCTCTCATGAATAAGTAAATAAAACCTTTAAAAGTAAGTAAATAAATAAATAAATAAATAAATAAATAAATAAAAAGGATTCTAGGCATCATACAGGCCCCCAAATGGAAAGGTTATCGAAGTAGGGACAGTTACTTTCCTTTTAACTATGCCAATAAATTAAAATCTCAGTGAATAGACACCATTCAGTTTAACACGTAAGTTCTATAATAAAACACGGATGTTATGCCCATTATGCTACTTTTCTGTGTTACTGAAATAATGTAATTTGGGATATCTATCACCTGATTCAAAAGTAGAGATCAATATTCAAAATCGAGTCCCATCAAGCATCACTGAGTCATAGAAATTCAGCCAGCTGGTTCTTTCATTTCATTGGTTGAGATAATAAAACTGGCTCTCTTTGAGCAGGCTTTGAGAGGCTGGATATAGTCCACCAGATTGTCAGAGATTTATTTCTTCCCTTAAATAGGAAGTCTATGGATAAAACAAAGAAACAAAGACACTGCTGTGCAAATATTGGTTCTCGTGTACCTTGGAGCCCTTGATGCTGTTAGAAAGCCTTCCCATGCATCCATCCTGCCAGAGATGCAGGACCTAGTACTGTGGTGACATAATGGAATCAGCAGCCTGCAATCACTTCATAGACTCAATTAAGTAGTGGGACTCAATTAAGAATTTAGGAACAAATACCTTACTACATTTATTATTTTTAAAAAAAAAAAACCTGTTGCTTCATATTACTCTTAATAGGTCGGTGTTTTGTTTTGTTTTTAAGATGTTGTTTATTTATTCATGCGAGACACACAGAGAGAGAGGCAGAGACACAGGCAGAGGGAGAAGCAGGCTCCATGCAGGGAGCCCGACGTGGGACTCGATCCTGGGTCTCCAGGATGACGCCGGGCGAAGGCAGGAGCCAAACCACTGAGCCACCCAGGGATCCCCAGATTAGTGTTCAAGAGTATGAGGATCGGTCCAAATCTCGCCTCTACCACACACCAACTGCCTGATTTGGGAACACATGTCTTGACCTTTATAAGCTTCAGTTTTCAAACCTAAAAGAAGCAGAAGCAGAAGAAGAGGAAGAAGGAGGAGGAGGAGGAGGAGAACACTACCTTTCCTACCACCCCACTCCCCCTTTTTTTTTTTTTTTTGTAAATTTATTTTTTTTTTGGTGTTCAATTTGCCAACATATAGAATAACACCCAATGCTCATCCCATCAAGTGCCCCCCTCAGTGGCCGTCACCCAGTCACCCCCCGCCCCCGCCCACCTTCCCTTCCACCACCCCTAGTTCATTTCCCGGAGTTAGGAGTCTCTCATGTTCTGTCTCCCTTTCTGATATTTCCCACTCAGTTTTTCCCCTTTCCCCTTTACTCCCTGTCAATATATTTTATATTCCCCAAATGAGTGAGACCATATGTTTGTCCTTCTCTGATTGACTTCTTTCACTCCGCATAATACCCTCCAGTTCCATCCACGTCGAAGCAAATGGTACCACCCCACTCCTGATTCCTACATCTGTTGAAGTGTTGGGAGACAGAATGCAGGTACCCAAGTCCTCATGGACCCTAGGGAAGTGCTGGGACAAAGTGAGTTATTATGGGCGGCAACTATCACCATCAGCACTAGAACTTTCTTGGCAGTGCTTTCACCTGCATTTCCGTGGCTCTCTGAAGCTCCTTCACGACTCTTTCCTAAACTCCCTTTCTTATCCATATTTAGAAAATAGATGTTTGATGGAACACAGATGAGTAATTGTTTTGTTCTGCCTTTTTTGCATTTATCAAATGGCAGTCATTTCATCAACATTCAGTGGACTTTAGAAACGTTAAGTAGGGGATCTCTGGGTGGCCCAGCGGTTTAGCGCCTGCCTTTGGCCCGGGGCATGGTCCTGGAGTCCCGGGATCGAGTCCCACGTCGGGCTCACTGTGGGGCCTGCTTCTCCCTCTGCCTGTGTCTCTGCCTCTCTCTCTCTCTCTCTCTCTGTGTGTGTGTCTCTCATGAATAAATAAAATCTCTTTAAAAAAAAAAAAAAGAAAGAAAGAAATGTTAAGTAGCCAAAGCAACAGTGATGTGCCCCTAAGAGTCGATTTAATTTCCCCAACTCTGGCAACAGGGTTGCTCCAATGAGGTAGTCAGGATCTACCCAGTTGGTTCAGAGAGTTTCTGTTGCACAACTTGGGGGAAGGGAGGGCTCTAAGGAAAACGTGGCTCATAACTTCCTAGGATCGCCTCCACCTGGCTTATGTACCTCTAAACTCCCCTCTTCAACTCTTGTTCTTCTTCCACTACAGTGGAGATAGAAAATGAAAGGTGGCAAAAAATATTCCGTGCTCACCACCCACCAAGACGCATTCTTTGTCCTATTTTTGGTGATCGAGGTGGTACCATTTCCTAGCGTATTTTAATCTCTGATTCTGTGAGTTGGTTCCCATCACAGGAAACGTGTGTCCTCCAAATTATAGTCCAGTTCACCACCAGGCACCAAAACAGGCTGTTTGAATAACAACCACCACCCAGTAATTTCATAAAGAGTTGCCCAAGACTGTCCTGTGGCAGGCCTGGATGGAGGGGGCAGGAAGAGGAAAGAAGTGGTGTGGCTTTTTCTAGCCTCCTCCCCCCACTCCTTTCTTCTTGTTCTGCTAAGCTCTGATGGCTGCTCCTTCTCTACCAACGGCTTAATATGAATTTTAAGGAAAAGATTTTTGGGGCAGCCCGGGGGGCTCCGGGGTTGAACGCCGCCTTCAGCTCAGGGTGTGACCCGAGGTCCTGGGATCGAGTCCCGCATCGGGCTCCCCCCATGGAGCCTGCTTCTCCCTTGGCCCGTCTCTCATGAATAAATAAATAAAATCTTAAAAAGAAAAAAAAAAAGAAAGAAAGAAAAAGATGCTGAAGTGTTCCAGGTCCTGTTCATTGTTAGCAGTGTACACACGACAGATCCTTCAGGGCAAAGGACAAAGAAAAATACAAGCGTGGGAGAAACCGTTCACTTCGTGGGTGTAGCAGGTCTGGCAATAAGGACCTAGCACCCCCGCCACCCTCTTACCTGCCGGAATTCTTCCATCTGTAAGAAACAGGTCACTGAATCCTTCACCCAGCAGCCTGTCAATTGGTGAATCTCGCCCCAAATCATAATCACTGTCTCCTGCTTCACTGTCACCACGGCCACTGTCTTTCAAGCTAAATTTGTCCATATCTTGGAGGGCGTACCTAGAAAGATGAATCAGAGAAAGCCTGGGTTTTACTCTTCTGCATTCACGTTACTGGAGACTCAACAGGCAATAAGCAGAAAGGTCATTCCTACCTATAGCTCCTGGAATATTTGTTGCCTCGAAAGCTTGGCCTTGGCTGATATTGCCCCTGGTGGAGCATTGAGAGAAGCTGGGAGACCTGCTGGAAACCAAACAGACAAGAACTGATTTCTTGGAAACACACCCCCCCCCCCCCAATACTCAAAAGCTGCAAGCAAGGGAAAAAACAGTTGCTCACTAGTTCATCCCAACTAACTGAACACGTCACCTGTGTGTTAAAGGGCTGCACTTGCTGGAAGGTGGCGGACCTATGCAGGCAGCCACCACGTGGAACTGAACACCCCCCAGAGAGCTTTCAATGACCTCATACACTGGCTTTTTAAGAGAACTCCTTGCTAAACAGCAGCTTGTTTTCCTTTATCTTCTAGGTCACATTAAAGTGACCAGCTATCAAAATATCTGGGAAATGTCATAAAATACAACAACTCGAACACACGCAGCTGAAATCATGCCAGAAAAATCACAAAAGTCCAACAAATGTGACATGCATTCAGATGGCATTCTGGAGGCCTCAGTTTTTTGTTTTTTGTTTTCTCCTTGTGGTTTTATTTTGGTTTGGTTTTTTTGTTTTTTTGGTTAGGAAGGAACCACAACTATGCAAATAAAACAAGTCCTTTTATACTTGCCCCCCCCCCCCCAGTACCTTAATCTGGGAAGTAAGGGTAATTCTAATTAGACAGTCACATTTATTTTTCAGTATTAGACGTAAACCCACGCAAGCAAATTCTTTAAGGAAAACCAAACAGCAGGCTGAGGTATGCATACCTGCTACGTACACACAACGCAACTTGTATCCAATGTGATTTGAATATTGTTAAGCGTCGCTGTCTACTTGTCAATGGAAACATGGCTAACCCATAAGGCAGCTCCTCGTGAACCCTAAGAGCTGAGGCTGGGTCGGTGAAGGGATGCAGAGTGTGATCTTACCTCAACAGCCGGAGTGGCATGGGTGAGCTCTAGGGAGAAATTCTCTGGCACGTGGTTGGACGAGATGGTCACCAAACTGTTGAGGGACTGGTGACTGTGGTGACTCTGCCGGCTGCCCATCTGGCCTCTCTCCAAGGTTGGAGAGGAAGACGGAGATGACCTGTGATGAGACCTGATGGGCAGAGTGCCATTCATGGTAGGCACCAGCGTAATGTCCCCTTTGTGAATCTGCCTGGATGGCCTCTTCGGGTGGTGCTGGTAAGTGGACTCCGCTACCCTGCAGTTGTAGGATCTAGTGTCCTTCTTTTCTCGGTTACACCGAGTTGCAAACAGCACCATGATGACCAACAGCACGGCACAAATTGCTCCCAGGGAGATAATTATAATCATGGAGACATCCAGAGACGCCTGGCTTACTGAGGTCATTGCTGTACTGGTCACGGACTCGGCGTCCTCAAAGATCACGCACTTCAGGAGGACTCTGGTGTGCAGCTGAGGACTGCCCTTGTCCTGGATGACGACGGCGAGCTCCCACTCCGTGTGGGGAACCGACTCCATGCTCACGTTGGTGTGGATGTCGCATGACCGTGGGTCAATTAGGAAGATGTTCTCCTCGTTGCCTGCTACTATGGAGCAACTGAGCTCAGCATTCACCCCAGAGTCTCTGTCAATTGCCCTGATCCTTGTGACGTGGAAGCCACTGTCGGCCCCCTTGGGTATGGAGATTTCCGCAGTGCCGTTGCGCAGCGCGGGCCCTATAACCACGGGGACGTTGTCGTTCTCATCGACGACGGTGAGCACGACTGTGGTGTTGCTTGCCAGTTGCTTTGGGCTTCCTCCATCTCTCGCTTCGACCACGAAAGGGATCTGACTCACCTCCTCGTGATCGAAGATTCTGAGGGCGTAGATGGCTCCATTGGATGGGTCGATGGTCACGTAGGTCGTTATGGAGCTTCCCAGGATAAGACTCTCCAGGATGGTGTAGGTCACCTGCCCGTTTTCTCCCAGGTCGGGGTCCGTGGCTGTGACGGTGGTGATGTAGGCCCCTGGCGAGTTGTTCTCCGAGATGGCAAATTCGTACCGACTCCTCTGGAAGCGCGGTGGGTTGTCGTTTATGTCATTGATCTGAACGGTGAAATGCTTCACCGTGGACAGGCTGGGCGTCCCCTTGTCCTCGGCGATGACTGTCAGGCTGTACTCGGACCTCTTCTCTCGGTCCAGCGTGGCGTTGGTCAAGATCAGATAGTTGTTCTCGTAAGTCTTCTGAAGTTTAAAGTGGCCGTGACCGTGAAGCCTGCACACGATCTCCCCGTTGGGCCCGGAATCCTTGTCCTGAACCCTGACCAGGGCCACGAACGTGTCAACGGGGTCCCCTTCAAAGACGTAGGATATTTCCTCTTTCCCGGGGGACATGAGGTTGATGTTAATGTCCGGCCTGTTGTCGTTGACGTCCACCACCTTGATGATGATCTTGCAGTGCGCTGGGATGGAGTTGGGGCCCAGGTCTTGGGCCTGGACGTCGATCTCGTAGGATTTGGTGACTTCGTAGTCCACTTGCCTGAAGAGAGTCAGTCGCCCCGTTTCTGAGTCGATCTTGAAAGTCTCTAGGATTCTGGGGGACACATGGCTGCTGAAGGCGTAGACCACCTTCCCGTTGGCGCCCTCGTCTGGATCGGTGGCGTTGAGGTCCAGGAGCAGCGTGCCCACCGGGGCGTCCTCCGGGAGCTGGATCACGTAGGAGGGCTGCCCGAAGGCCGGGCTGTTGTCGTTGGAGTCCGAGATGCTGATCTTGAGCACGGAGGAGCCGGACCTCTGGGGCACCCCCAGGTCGGAGGCCGTGAGCAGGAGCTCGTAGCTGGAGCGCAGCTCCCGGTCCAGCTCCCGCACCACGATGAGCTCCGCGTACTTGGCCCCATCCGTGCGGGTCCGCACCTCGATGGCGAAGAAGTCGTTGGCGGACAGCGAGTAGGTGTGCAGGGCGTTGTCGCCCACGTCCGGGTCCGAGGCGCCGTCCAGCGGGATGCGCGTCCCCACGGCCGCGCTCTCCGAGATCTCGATGGGGATGACGGGCCGCGCGAACTGCGGGGCGTTGTCGTTGATGTCCAGCACCTCCACCTCGATGTGGAACAGCTGCAGGTGCTCGGTGGGGAGCGTGATCACGTCGAACTCGATGCAGCAGTTGAGGTTCCGCGCGCACAGCTGCTCGCGGTCGATGGGCGCGCCCACGCGGACCTCGCCCGTGTCCTCGTCCACCCGCAGCAGGGGCGCGCTGCCCCGCTGCATGGCCCGGAAGCGCACGGCCGCGCCGGGCAGCCCCCGCAGCGCCTCGGCCGCGTCCTCCGACAGCCGCGCCACCACCGAGCCCACCCGCTGCTCCTCGTAGATGCGGTACCGGAGGTTGCGGCCCAGGACGGCGCAGCCCAGCGACGCGGCGAGCAGGGCGCACAGCAGCCGGCAGCGCATGGTCGCGGCGGGGGCGCCTGGCCCGGGGGCCGCGGGGGGCCGCGGGGGGCCGCGGGGGGGCCGCGGGGACGGGGGCCCGGCGCGCTCGGCTCCCGCTCAGCTCCCGGCCCCGCCGCCTCCCGCACCCCCCCCGCCCCGGCTCGCGCCCCCGACCCGCATACGCACCGCGACTCCCTCCCTCCCTCCCTCCCTCCCTCCCTCCCTCCCTCCCGGCCGGCCGGCGCGCTCCGCGGGTGTAGCCGGGTCGGCGGGCCCTGCCCCTGCTGCTCCTGCTCCGGCTCCGGCTCCGGCTCCGGCTCCGGCTCCCTCCTCCCCGCCCCGCTGCGCACCAGCCCGCGGCCGCCGACTCCGGGCTCCGAGCGGCACAACTTCACTTCAACTCACACAAAGCTCCGCTGCCCGGCGGGTGCGGAATCGCCGCCAGCCAATCAGCGGGGCCCCGGAGCCCCCGCGGCCCGAGGCCCCGGCGCGGGGGCGGGGAGGAGGGGGCCGGACCCGCCGGGAGGGGAGGGGAGGGGAGGGGAGGGGAGGGGCGGGGCCGGGAGAGCGCGGAGCAGGCGCCGGGGGACGGAGGGCTGCGCGAGGAGCAAGTGGGGAGCTGCAGGGGGGAGCGGGGACCAGGGTCCGGGGGACGGAGGAGCTGCGGGGGGAGCGGGGCGGAGCGGGGAGCCTGGTCTGGGGGAGGGGGCTGTGGGGGGAGCGGGGGAGGAGGGTCCGGGGCAGAGAGGAGCTGCAGGGGGAGCGCGGGGGAGCGGGGAGCCCGGTCGGAGGGAGCGGGGAGATGCGGGGAGAGCCGGGAGCAGAGTCTGGGAGAAGGAGGCTGTGGGGAGAGGGAGGAGCAGGGTCCGGGGGCGGGGAATTGCGCGGGGAGCAGCGGGGCAGGGTCCGGAGGAGGGAGGCTGTGGGGGAAGAGGTGGAGCAGGGTCCGGGGGAATGAGGAGCTGCAGGGGGAGCGGGGGTCGAGGGTCCAGGGGAGGGGGGAGCTGCAGGGGGAGCGCGGGGGAACGGGGAGCAGGGTCCGGGGGAACGAGGAGCTGCAGGGGGAGCGGGGGTCGAGGGTCCAGGGGAGGGGGGAGTTGCAGGGGGAGCGCGGGGGAGCGGGGAGCAGGGTCCGGGGGAACGAGGAGCTGCAGGGGGAGCGGGGGTCGAGGGTCCGGGGGAGGGGGGAGTTGCAGGGGGAGCGCGGAAGGAGCGGGGAGCAGGGTCCGGGAGAGAGGGGCTGCGGGAGGAACAAGTGGGGAGCTAGCTGCAGGGGGAGCGGGGAGCAGGGCCGGGGGGAGGCTGCGGGGGGAGCGGGGAGCGGGGCCCGTGGGGAGGGGCTTGGGGGGCCGCCCCTTCCCTGCTCCTCCCCCCTCCCCCCTGCTCCCTCCCCTCCCCCGCCCCCCTGCGTCCGGTCCACCGCGTTCACCCTCTCCGAGCGCGCCGCGACAAAGGGGCGACAAATTGCAGAAGAAAAACTTTAAATCAACTTCGGGTCGCCCTGATTTCTCTGGCGTTTGACGTCGGGCCGGTTTCCGAGGGGCCCTTTCTCTTCCGCAGGCACGTCCTCCCGGGGCTCCTCCGGGTCCGCCCGCGGGTTTGACTTGAGATGCCCCCGGGGCCTCCGGTAGCGGAGGGACTGGCCCGGCTCCTCGGGCCCCGCGCCCCCCCCCACCCCACCCCCCCAGGCGCAGGCTCGCGGCCCCCGCCCGGAGCGCCTGCAGGTTTTCTTGGGGCTCTTGTTTTCAGGAGCAGAACCAGTAAGGAGGTTTCACGTTCTGGGTTTCTTTCATCTTTACTCTTTGAGGAGAAGACAAGGGCTATTTTCCACTCTTGATTTCCCTTAATGAGCGAGATTTAAGGGAACACCTTAGGGTTTGAAACTAATTACCAAGGTAGTTGCTCCCATAGAACATGCACTTCTTCCAGGAGTTGGGGCAGAACTGGCTCTGATATTTCTTTGCCTTGGACCTCGAAAAAAAAAAAAAACAAAACAAAACAAAAAACAACACCCATTTACCTTGAGTAAAAGCCATTTCATGCTTTAGCGTGCCAGTTGCTACCAAAAGGCATTGTCTGTACATGGTGAGTCCTCGTGATGAATACTGGGGGGACAGGGACTCAATCGTTTACAAGTCAGATTTGTGTGATGGATGCATTATTTATGAAAGCGCTCTTCAGATATGTATTTTAAGAACCCAAAGCTTGTTTACATTGAAGCATAAAAATGCCTGAGCTGAAAATTGCATTTTGTGTGCATCAAAATGCTAGGAAATACCATGGGAGGCTGGTGCTCTATCCGGGTCACAGAAACTGATACGGTATTCTTTTTTGAAAATATGATTATTTATGATGTTCTTTCTTCTCTGCAATTCCTTTTAAGTTTATCATCAGGGCTCTACCGCTGCCTCTGTGTGTGTGTGTGTGTGTGTGTGTGTGTGTGTGTGCACGCGCGTGTGTGTCTGTGTGCGCGCGCCTCTTGCATTATTCCTCAGCTGTCTTCATCCACTTGCAGATTTGCTGTTTCACATAATCTCGCTGTCACTTTTTCCCATTTATTTTCTCCCACTCTCTCTTTTGCCCCCCCCCAGAAACATATAAAAAAAGGCAATTTTCTGATTTTTCCACTTTGCTTACTCTCAGCAGAGCTCAGCTAAAGTCACTAAGAAGGTTCCTTCCAAGAAAGAAAGCAGAGGAGTCGCAGCGTGAACTCTCCTTCTCTTTAGGCATTCAAAGGCATTTTATAAGCCGTTGTCTTCTTCCCCCTCCAGAAACCAGCGCTGTGTGGCAAATTGTGCAGAATAGAAATGCCCATAATGAATGTATTTAGCGCTGGGTCATGCTGATGAACACTGTGCCCCCATGAATAACACTGTGCTACGAGGTTGTAGCCCTTTCAAATTGCTGATCCCCAAACCCTATAGGCAAACTGGTAAGACTACACCACAAGCAACTGGGACTTTAGAAATCCATAGCCATCTGGCCCAGATCTCTAACAATCTGAGCCAATAATTCTATCAACTCAGGCTTTAGCGAACCCCTCTGCAAACACCAAAAGAGCAAAGAAAGGAATTAGTGACTATTCAAAGGTGGGGTGAGAATTCAAAGGTAATCCAATTCCAGGAGTTCTGGGAGAACTTTCTTGGTGGATTTGATAAGTCTACCCCCAAAATCCCTGAGGGCCATGGACTTGATTACCTGAACGTAGAGGGCATGTTTTTCCCTAGTGCTTCACAGAATAAAAACCTAAATTTAAGGATCTTTCTTTGATTTCTGACAATGCGTGTGAATAGACTTAACCATTGTCAAAAGAGCTTCAGACTACCTTACAGAAATACGTTGAACAGGTTGCAAATCCATATGTGCTCATAAAGCCTGTGTTTCTGTGTGTACGTCTTTACGTAGTCGGGAATTCTTTCGTGGGGAATGACTCGTTTTCCCTAGTGGGGTCATCCTTAACAAATACCACTTCAAGTACAGCTGGTCAGTCCCTCCCTGAGAAATTACACGTACCTGCTTCATAGTATTGGGCTTTTGATTTCTCCTTAGTGTACACTGCTCTGTTTTTCAAACTCGTTTTCAGAAAGTACAAAATAGGAAATAAATCTTTCCTTTTGCACTTTTAATTAGCTCCAGCAATTCCAAATGTCCTTATCTGGTAGCCCTGCAAAGAAAATACCAAAAGCAAAAACAAAAGCAAACAAACAAACAAAAAAAACCAAACCTCTCTCATATCATTTTCTATGTGTGGAAGCAAATTAGAGGACAAATACTGATAAGTGTCTGTCAGTTGTCATCTCGTGGTGATTCGAGGGAACTTTCTCGGTCTTCTAAAATGTTACAAAGCTATGGGTAAGCAGTCGTGAAGAAGTTTAGACTCTCCAGAATTGCTTTCAGATACCCAGGGAAGGAGGATTGAATGCCCCTTAAAGCCCATCCACCTTCGGGACCCAGGCTTTGTTGACAAAGACGAGATTTGGCTGCACCTCTTGACGCATTCTAGGTGACATTAGGCATGACAGCAACGTGCTCCCAACCGCCCGGAAGAGAATCCTGGAATCTTATTTCCATCCTGTAGTGTATATTTTAGCCACAAAGTTCCTCTTACACCGGGTCAGCCTCAGTTGGCTGAAAATCGCTAAACTAGGGAAAAGATACTAGTTGACAATACATCCTGTCACCTCTAATCACAGGTTTATGATGCCATTTATTTTTATTACTTTTGTTTTAAAGAAAATGAAGCTTTATAATTCTAAATCTTTACTGTTTTCCTTGCTTTTGATGAGGAAGGGGAATGCAAGGCTGAACTCTAAAGTTCAAATGTCATTCCATTGCATGAAGAGTGTCTTTTTCGGTGAAATGCAAAATTAAAGTCACTAAAATTTCTTTTTAAAGATTCTTGGTTATAGGGCAGCCCTGGTGGCTCAGCGGTTTAGCGCCTGCCTTCAGCCCAGGGCCTGATCCTGGGGAGACCCTAGATGAAGTCCCACTTCGGGCTCCCTGCATGGAGCCTGCTTCTCCCTCTGCTGTGTCTCTATCTCTGTCTCTCTCTTTCTCTTTCTCTGCGTCGCTAGTAAATCAATAAAATCTTTAAAAAAATCTTAATTATTTTTATTCCATTAAAGCATATGAAATGCAAAGAAAAAGGTAGATGAATAAGCAAATACATAAATAAAGGGTCATTTCTGTCTGACCATATCTTTCCCACCATCAAAAGGATGATAGGAATCTCACAACCTGCTTGTAGATTAAGGTAACATTACAATCCTTCCTCATAGCATTGGCAGTGAAATGCTTTGTAGGAGGAATTCCTGGTCCTGCTTGATACCACATGTCCCTAACAAGCCTAAATAATTACTCTACTGTGTGTCTTGAGAAATTAGATATGAGCAAAAGTTTTACCAGATGAAAGTTGGCCTCCTGGTACTTTGGAACTATTTAGGATAAAGAGTTTGACTTTTATATAAGCCTAATATATGTGCAAAGGCGGGTACCACCACTAATTGGTAGCTGTGTAATCCTGAACAAATTATTATTATTTGTTAAAGATTTTTTTTTT